TTCTCCTGGTCGCATACGCAATAAACAAGGGAAAATATTCCGTGATTACCGTCATACCCAGTGGCACTAAGTAGTATGTCTCTGTAGCGATCTTTAATAAATTTTCCATCAAAAAACAATAGAGACCTACACGCAACAACGAATCCTTCAATACAGGCATTATAACTTATGAACAATCGCCTGAACCTGCCGTCATCAGCATCAATAACAACACGACTCCCTGGATTAGTTGCATGCACCATGGATTCATACTTACATGAATATAACAACAAAGTAGTAAATTTAACAACGGATTCATAACCATAACAACTGATCTTCAACCTTAACAACCAACGCGTATACTTAACAACGAACCAATAACTTTAACAACTAATACATATAGTTAGCAACCAATACGTAAGAGTGATTTCAGAAGAATAAAAAAGAACGTACAATCTCAGTGAATCGTAAGCCTCATCATCGTCACCGAACAGGTCATGTTGAGTTGTCTCCTTGCCCCACCACGCTTTACTGTAGTTAATCTTGATGCCAAAATTAGAGAGCATGTCATTCTTAATATCAACTGCACGAAGATCTGACCTAATCTTCAAAACAACTTGTATTTGACCAGCAATGAACTTCCTTGATGCCCTTGAGTTGTCAACATTTGCTCCATGTTGATCGCAGATGTTGGTAGATTTGTAATTCTTTATGGACATGATAGACGAATTTCTGAGCGGGGAAGTAAACAGCATATAAGGACAACCATGTGTGTGCTTGAATCGGCAATAAACTCATGCGTTTTTGTTTATTGTGATAAAAATCATAATCGAACAGTTTAGCAATTGAATAGTATTAAAGTGCTAATCTAACTTCAGCAGCATTATCAAATTTCTGAGCAACTTCACATATCGATGTGTGTCACTCAGTTGGGATCTTTGTTTGGTGGTTAAGCATGTCTTCTAGCAGCATGATCGAGTCATCGGTGGGGTTGTCATTAGGAATACGCTCATCATTACAGGTTTGGATGAACGTGGTATCTGCGTACCGTGAATTTTTTGTTAATATTGTCCTGAAGTAGTAATAAAAATACATAACATCAGCAACGAACTAATAACCTTAACAACAAACTCATAAACGTAACAGCCAATACATATCCTTAACAACTAACCCTTAAACTTAAGGACAGACTCGTGACCTTAACAACAAACGCATATACTTAACATTAAACACCTTACCATAGCAACCAACTAGTATAAGTAACGAACACATAACCTTAGAAAAAAATCTTTAAACTTATTTCATAAAATAAGACAAACAACACATAACATTAACAACCAGTCCTTAACCTAACATTGACAACCAACTCATAACCTAAGCAACCAATGCATAAGGTTAACAACTAATGACAAAACCTATCAGTGAACTCATAAGGAAATCTGAAGTGTAATTCCTACGCATTTTCCTGTATAGTCTGCGTGTTCTGCGAAGTTGAGGATTTCCCAGCGGAGGTAGCATATAAATTCGCGTCTGTAAATCCATTACGCCGACAATACTCGAACATCAAATTTAAGTCATCGTCATTATCAATTGAAATACTGAATTTCTTTTTCCTTTCGCGTATGAACTTCAATGAAAGAGATTGCATTGGTATTTTAAGCCTTTCCGACACTTGATATTTCAAGCTGATTATTTCTGCATTCTCTTTGATAACGACGAATACACTGTCACCATCTTTGTTGCTTTTTGCCTTCGTTACCACGCAAAGAAAAGATCCATCCGTCATTTTATTACAAGTAGTAGTTGAATAATCGAAGAGGTTCTTATTGAGGAGAATTAAGTGGAAGGAACGGATTAGTTGGGGTAATAGAATAGGGTGGAACTCAACGATTTTATTACGACGGGAAGGGGAATATATGTGGTGATAATTTTGGAGGGAAATGAGAATTTTCCCCTCCAAAACGGCATTCTAATCACCATTTAATGCCTACAGTCGAAACACCATGTTTCTGACGTGAGATGGCGACGGATACAGGCTGTGTAGGGGTATTTTGGGTATTTCGTGAGGGATTTAAACGGAGTTACGCCTGGGGATTCGTTTTGGGGGCCGGAAGAAAATCACGGAGCATTTTGGGGCAAAACACCTGTTGAAAAAGTCTTGGGGGGAAGCTCCTTTTCTTGGATTTTGAGGGCTGGAAGCATTATTCCCTAACTAAAATACATGAAAAAAGTGTGATACAGAAGGCTACTCAATTTCTCCTTCTTACTTTATATCTACTGATGGACAGCTGAGCGACATTACACAAGCAAGGAACAAATAGGAACTGCAAACAAATGGGTATGTAAATGAATAGACAAAGAATGTTGTTCACAAAATATGTTTCCAATTGAATTGCCTAACAAGGCTAATACCGTTTTTAACTCCTCATATTTTTGTTCACTTGGATGAATCTTTTATACTGCATTAGGTATTGTTCAATCCCCCTACCCCACTCACTCTCAAGCAAACGTACATAGCATAACAGATGAAAGATGGGAAGAGTTCTTAATAAATACAATATGTGCATGGTTCCTCAGAGCTTAAAGCGTACAAGGGACGCCAAGATGGAATGAAAATGAATAGAAAGACCAAAACAATCATAGAAAACACTTTATAATACATGCCGGAAATTTGATAACCTTTTGCACAAAGGTTCGCTGAACTATTACAATGATTTTCTCCTTATCTTTTCTTTTTCTTCATTTGAAGAGCAAATCGGTAATGTCCATCAGAAGTGAAAGCTAACAGTAAAGGTAGTACAGCAACTAGTGAAGTCTTTGATGATGCATAAGAAATAGTAAGTAAATTTATGGATGTAAATGAGCTAAAACAGATATAAATGGGGCTCATTTTAAATCTAATATTTATAAGTATGTATTTGTGCAGATGCCAGACAGTAGTTAACATAGGAAAACCAGAAATCAGAAATGATAGGGAAATGGGCAAATATGAATTGAGCTTGAAGCCTAGTGATAATAAAATTAAAGAAATGAAGAGGAAACTTAATAAGAACTAAGAAAGCAATGGGCTTGAATGGATAGAAAAATTGCAACACTCAAGAATTAATATGAACTTGAAAGGAATTAAACATAGGATCCTAATGACAAAAGGCATCTGAATCCTTGAAGAAAGAATGAGAAACAACTATACATATAATTTGTAGAAGAAACTAAGAGAGTCTAGAATATGAAATTTTGAAGAATAGGTTAAAATTGTGATAGTTCTTTTAAAAAAGATGCATATTCACTGTTTAGCTTTAAAATCGGAAAGTTTGCTACATGCTTTTGCAAGATATCTCCAGTGACCTAAACAAGTCTCTCTGCTTTATAGTGCAAGAATTTAGGAAAATTTTGACAAAAAGACTTCCAGTGTCTTTTGTATAATGTTCAGAAATTACATTCCTGATTCAGGAACATACTTGAAGGGAAAAGTATTTTGCACCCTGAAATTCCCTGGACCGTTACCAAACTTTGTTACTCATGTAAGCTGATTGTGATACAATTTTGCAAATTAACTTTTTTTAGCATTAAAATATCCATGTGACAGACACCATATCCATTATAAGAAAAGCAGTGTAGATGTGACCTCAGCTACAAGTAATCTTTATTATTAGGAGAATATATGAGATGAGCCTTCATGACTTGCAATTATTCTTCACAGCCCGCCCTGGATTTCTAACTTGTTTAATCATGTAAGCTGGGTTTCATAGATTTTGCAAACTTAACGTCAAACACGCATTAAAATGTCCATGATACAGATACCATATCCATTATAACCAGAAAAAACACTGTAGATGTGACCCCAGCTACAATTAATCACTATTATGACAAAAAAAATCGCAGAAGCCTTCTTGACTTGCACTTGTTCTTCATAGATGGCCTTTTATTAGGAAATAGTGTGCAAATAAGTAGATACATGTCCCTCATGGTTGAAAAGTTGTTGATCTTTTTTTCTCTTCTTCTACTTCACTTTCTTTCTTTTTTACTTCTTTTGTTCTCTGTAAAGATATGTTTGGGAGTTCACTTAGGGAAGGGGAAGGAAGGGGAAAAATTCCCCTTCCTTCCCTTCCCATTCATTACCCCCAATTTGGGGTGTAACAAT